TCAGTTCCATCTATTCTAATGTATTCTTTAAAGTGCCATGACTGGCTCCTTAGAGAAACGGCTGGTTCTAGGACTGGGGCAAGAAATATACAAGATGAGCCAAGAGGACCTCATAGGATCAGAAAGTAAGGAAGTGCTAAAAACAAAAAAAAAGAAAGAAAGAAAGGAAGAAGAAGACGAAGAAACCAACTGGAATAATGGCCAAAGGTGGACGATTTTGAGCAACACAACACAAAACATAGTATTTGATTATGACCCAAAGTATAAACAAATATCAATGAGCCATGAACCCATACTGATGTAAATGATTGAATAAATAAGTAAGTGGGAGGAAAAAGACCAACTGCCATGCAGAAGAATTCCCAATCATGGTAGTGGATACTACAGCCTCATGGAAGGAGGTGGAGGTGGAGCATATCTCTCTGTTCTCTAAGGCTGGGCTACCCACAGTGACCTCCTTCCAAAGAGGACAGTATGGAGAGTGCGGAAGGAGGGAAACTTAATGACGGAAAAATCTGGCAAAGCACTACCTTGGCCACGTCATCAAGGTCAACATCAAGAATGATGTTATGTTGATAATACGTACCCTTGATATGACGGGAAGAGAATGGTACTTTACCTCTGTGATCTTCCTCCAAAAGCACATAATCGGAGTCTATTCATGAGAAAACCATCAGATAAAGCCCATTCGAGGGACATTTTATAAAATGCTTCACCAACACTGCTCAAAACTGTCAAGGCTATCAAAAAAAGAAGAAATGTCTGAGAAACCGTCATGGCTAAGAGGAGCCTAAGGAAATAAAATAACTACAATTAGTGTGTTGTCCTGAATGGGTCCTGGAATGGTAAAGGGCATCATGCAAAACTGAAGGAAATTGGAAGGAAGCCTAGACTGTAGTTAATAATAATGTATCACTAGCTGTTTATTAACAGTAACACATGTAGCATAGTAATATTAATGGAATAAAAATATGAAATATGTAATAAGGTGTGGCATGTACGGAAACTCCCAGTACTATCTTCCCAATATGTCTATAAATCCAAAACTGTTCCACAATTTAAAGATTGTTTTAAAATACTGCACCAGCTTCTCACATTAGTGAAATGCTCCCCCTTCATCATCCCCTGTTGAAGCCCTACCTTTCAACTCCTAATTTAAGAAGCCTTCTTAATTCTTCGAAAATCAAATGGGTCTTCCCGTCCTTCAGTGTCCAAAGACCTCGATACTTAACATTATGGTGTTAATTTTCATTAATCGACTTATTCATTCAGACAACCGTTATGGAGGACCCATACCAGTTTTTATTCCTTTTCTTTTTTTTTAAAACATTTTTAATTGATTTATAATCATTTTACAATGTTGTGTCAAATTCCAGTGTGGAGCACAATTTTTCAGTCATACATGAACATATATATATACACATTGTCACTTTTTTTTCTCTGTGAGCTACCATAAGGTCTTGTGTCTATTTCCCTGTGCTATACAGTATAATCTTGTTTAACCTTTCTACAATTTTGAAATCCCGTCTATCCCTTCTCACTCTCCACCCCCTTGGCAACCACAAGTTTGTATTCTATGTCTATGAGTCTGTTTCTGTTTTGTATTTATGCTTTGTTTGTTTTTGTTTTTGTTTTTGTTTTTAGATTCCACATATAAGCAATCTCATACGGTATTTTTCTT